GGCATCTTTCAGATGGCAAATTTACAGCCTGGCTCTAATTTGGTTTTCGCTGCCACGGCAAGAGGAGGTGTAAATCCCCTTTCCTTAATCCAGGGTACATATCAGCATTTAATCATCTGAACATGCAGCTCCTTTGACAAGTCATTTCCCTCCAGCCTCCTTCCACAAGTGCCTCTCCTGGCTGGTCCCTGTAAAAGATGATGCTTGGAATCAGTAGTGAAGGAAATGAATATCCCGTGCGCTCGCTCTCTCTGTCTTTTACCTATCTATTTTCCAGGGAAAGGGCATGGAACAGCAGGGGAGAGGAGTGCTCACACACATGGAGCACCCTCGTGCGCCTGAGATCACGATGCCCCCCACTGATGCCCACGGAAACGTGTGGGGACAGCGGACACAAACCTACCCCTGCCTGGGCTCCAACCTCTGCGCCTCAGAGCAGCCCAGCAGAGCCGGGCACCGGCCGAACCGGGCCGATTCACCGCAAACTGGGGGTGAATTGGGGCAACAGGCTCTGCCCGCGCTGGCAGGTGCTCTGGGTCACGCAGCTTTAGTCCAAAGCTTGGGCTCATCAGTGCAAAAGGCACTGGTGATAGCAGGCGAGCTCATCTTGGTGCCGAGAAAAGCTTCCACGACATTTTCCCTGGCACAACTCAAGTTCAAGCTCTGCAAAAGTAATTTAGAATTGGTTTGAAATCTGCCCCTCTGGGCTTTTTGTTTTTTTTTCTTTCTTTCTGTTCTCTTTGAGAGCGCAAACTTGGGAATCTTGAGGCGAATAAAACATGTCCTTATTGAGGCAGGCGTTTCTGCTGGTCACAGTCTGTTTCAGTGCAACAGAAATAGGTTTTGTCTTTGCTAGTCCACGATGCAGGTGGAGACTGGAGCCTAAGAAAGAGCAGGATACGCTGGAGGCGCCAACCCCTTCCCAGGTGCTGCCCTCTGTGGAAAGCAGCGGCTGAGGCCGATGTGCTGGGACAAAAACCGGGCGCTTACCCTGACCCACAGCCCCTATGTGCAGAGCTGGGAGCCCGCAGTGCTCCGGCAGGCTCAGCTGGGCTGGGCAGTGCTCGCACTCCCCGTGCGCCCCGGCTGCTGTTACGGGCATGGGGCTTGGCGGCACCTTTCGGGTTTGCACGCGTCCCCAGAGGGCGGCTTTCAGATTCCTGATGAAATGACCGTTTCCGAGCAGATGGCGCTTGTGGGGAGACCCTCCGGGGGCGGCCCTCCAGGCCTGGGAACTCGCGCCTTTGCCCTTTGTTGCATAAAATAGCACCTTTCTGCAGGAGGAACAAAATCCGGGGCGCTTCTGGGGGGCAGCAGGCAGCTGCTTGGTGGGGGGGGAGGTTCAGGGCTCTTTGCGGGGCTTGCTGGGGGTGGGGAAGAGGTGGGGGGAAGCAAAAAACGGGGTGTTTTTGGC